AGGGATCGGCATAGACAGAGAGAGTAGAGAGAGAGAGAGAGAGAGAGAGAGAGAGAGGCAAAGAATGATTCAATGTAAAGTACGTCATTTGAACCAGAGTGGAGCAGACTCCCTCAGTGGCTTCTTTCTGATATGTGATACATGGTGAGCCAGCGGATGCACTCTGACACACTGCATGGCTGACTCCAAAGTGAGGACTTAATCTGGCTGCATAAATCACTGTGACTTTGAGAGTGTAACCAATAAAGACGACAAGATCACATTCCTCCACATTCTCTCTCTACCTGTCTGTCTCCCTCTTTAACACACACGCAGAATTCATACAAACCGCTCACATAAAGCAGAAGGGTATTACCATGCAGCACACGATGCAGCGAGGGCCAAGAGACAAGCAGACTCCCCCTTTCCCTCTGCATGCTGATCATTAGAGAGAGAAGGGGGAGAGAGAGACAGAAAGAGACGGGGTGAGGCAGCAGTGCCATCTCCCTAGCAGCTCAATCACATTTACAGCCAGAACAGAGCAAGATGAAAACATCTATGGGTCACTGCTGTTAATACTGTATCACTTAAATAATGACAATTCTGTTACAGGATGGCACAGGTTTACAGCTCAGACAGCTAAAGATGGTAGATGACAGCATAAAGTCTACTTTCCCTTCCTTTGTGTCCCCTGGTTTTTACCTGTTACTTTCTGTTCTCCTTTTGATATACATCACTCATCTCTCTCATTCCATCTTTAGCAGCCACAAAGAGATTAAAGAGGGATTACGTCCGGCATGTCTGTGTAATGCGCCTGCTGGGCGTAGTACTTTTTTCCTTTCTCATGCAGTCCTAAGTCAATATTATGCTCATGTATATGCACACACAGACAGGTTAGCATCGTACAAGTAATAAAGCCATGAGGGATATTAATGATCTCCACTTACAACTAAGATGTGACATAATGAAACCACAGAACTGTTAGAGTGCCTTCTACCTCTTTGAAACAATAACACCCGTTGTGAGAAAACAAAGACAGCAAGTGTTTCCGCTGGATCCATAATCAGGTTTGTTTAAGTTTACAAAGTCCAAGGTATGGCGTGTGACAGAGGCAGAATGAGAAAAGAGAGGTACTGTTTTTAGGGGTGATAACCTTTTGTTTTGATTCAAAGTACTTGAGACTAGCAGGGAAATGAACTGTTGATTAGAAATATGGTGGAGGGTGAAGACACAATGACTGAAATCCCACCAAGTGCCCATGCCGATGCTATGTATTCAAACACAGACATGTAACGTGTGTGTGTTTGTGTATACAGGCAACAAAGTAACCCCATCACACCAATTAAATGGACTTGTAACTAACCAGGAACCAATACACATTGCCTTCACTGTTTACTATACTTAATGAAACCACATAGTATATAGTGCCCTACATCTATCCATCTTTATCTTGGCTATTCCATTTTTATGCAACTATAGACAAACAAAACCTGATGAATACTATCAAAGGGCTGTGACTATGTTTGTTAATGAGTATATGAGCTCTGTGTGTAGTGTTTTTGGACACCAACAGTTACACCATTGCAGACTAAAGGCAGTGCAAATCTAAATACATTATAGGTATTTTTATTTCTAGCTTGGTCTGTAATAAACACCTCTGTGCAAGCTAAGAGCATTACTCAAGTCACATGCTACCATACAATGAGTAACTAATTTATTTACCTGGCATTTCATGTACACAACTTTTAACGTATTACTAGACAAGTCTGAAAATAATACAGTTATTAGACTTTTTCCTTTATGACAATAGCACTAACAAGGCATATATCATCCCACAGGTGGGCTAGTGCATTTTAATATACCAGTACAGTCTGTAAACTACAATATATCCTAAATACACAGAATAGAGACCAGTCAGTGCACACACAGGAAATCATGACACAGTTTCAGTGGCAGACAAGAACCTCAGTGCAGTAACCGACATACGGTAGCTGTAGACCCCAATTTTGGTCTGGTAGGCCTAAAAACATATCATAGCCAAGGGGTAATCCACATTGCTAACACTCCTATATAAAGAATCCTACAGTTAGGTAAAATGTTGTCTTGCTGTGAAACACTTGCAGAACATGCTGGGATCAAACCATCCATTCAGAGGGTGACCCATCTATCCAATGAATTACACTACCACCCAAGTGGGGCCACAAACACAGAGCCTACAACACTGAGACCTGTGCAAGTGTGATTTTGCTAATACTCCTGGAGCCTTGCTATTGCTTTGTGCTGCAATTTCAGTATAACCTAATTTGAACATTTTAAAACAATTCTGTGACAACTGGGAAGCCAGCTGTTTAAACTACCAGTTCATAAACAGTATTATCTGTAATGAACCCAGTTTGATTGGCATACTATTTGCATTTGCTATTGTCAGTTCGAATTAAAGTAGATAAAACATGCACTGTCTACTTGATCTGTATAAATTTTACTCATTTGACCATCCTATTCCAAGTCTGATATAAAATATCAGCTTGGCGTAAGACCTCACACTTATCCTGCTCTTGGTAAACTGTGTTCAGGTAGAGGCTAAATTGGCCTGGGGTCTGCTCTGTCAATCAGCTGTCCAACGTCTACATGGATTAAACAGACCATTTCCTCCTGCCAGCATAATGTAGTGGGTTAGACTGGTAGTTTATGTGTTACAGGTGTTTGACAGTGCATATGTGCCTGTAAAATAGTGAATGTCATCCTGGGCATGCAATGCGGTAAAAATAAATAAATAAATAATTCAAAGCAGGTGCTTATCGTCTTGTTGGTGTGTGTTTTTGTTAATGCTCGTCACCCTCACTCACGCACAATGCGCTCTCTCTCTCCCTCTCTGGTTTATCGCCCATTTGAGGCCAACGAGTTGTGCAATGATTGTGTGTGCCCACCACCACCTCGCGTCCTCATCTCATGCTGCAAGACACGCTCTCGAGCATCATCTCTCTCTCTCTCTCTCTCTCTCTCCCTCTCCCTCTCCCTCTCCCTCCCTCTCCCCAGCCTATACAGTCGGAGGAGTTGCTAACCACCACCTCGCGTCCTCATCTCATGCTGCAAGACACGCTCTCGAGCATCATCTCTCTCTCTCTCTCTCTCTCTCTCTCCCTCTCCCTCCCTCTCCCCAGCCTATACAGTCGGAGTAGTTGCTATATTGTCTAAAAGAACACACTCCCTGATGTGGAAACCACATCAACACATCAGTGCCACACTTTGCCATTGGTCGTGGAAGGCAGACAAGACTGTAGTATATAAAATGTTTCCCTCCGTTCCTGGCACTGCAGTAGCTCACGACGGAAGGTGGAAATGCTTCAAGGATATCTAAAGTAGGTCTATAAGCAGAAAATTGCTCTCATCCAGAATAATTCTTCTGCCATTAGGGCAATATGACGCCGTCCTAAACCACCTGTTTTTCGCGCATCCTATGTGCGCACAGACATTATATCTGTGAAATTCTAAGGAAACTATTCACTCTGTAAGTGCGGTCGCTTTACTTGATACTGCCTTCATTGATCAATTCATATGACTATAATGATAACCTGGATAAATGACTATAGAGAAATTCTTAAGTAGGCCTGTTTGAGTTTTCATATGTAACTCAATAATCCTCCAAATGTAAACTTCATTTGAAACGATATCTATAATGACGCATTAGACAGCCCTCTTATTTTACCCGTAATATAAAGTAGTGGATGTGCCAAAAATTCATTTCAGGTATGCCATCTACACAGTGAGTTCCACGGTCCACATTCATAGAAGAGCCCACTAAATACCACAGGGCGTCAAAGACAGCAATGCTCAGATTTAAACAGTGCAGCGCATATCAAGGTTGAACCCTCCAATCTGTTTTCTGAGACGCACAGAGCCTTATTGTGGCCGTGATTTAGAAGAGAAAAAGCGCAGTGAACTCACCGATGTGGATGATTGAATCCGAGAGCGACGACTTCCACTCTTGGCTCCAAAAAACGGCAACGACCAACATAGCCGAGATAACTTTCATGTTGTCCAGAGATATTTCCCCCCCAAAACAGAGAAAACCACAGCTTTGAGTGAGAGTGAACAGTGAAAATCCCGAGAACCGAAGCTTCTTTTTAGTCCATCTGTGGGGCGGTCAAGGAAATTCCCTGTAATATGTGCATTAATATGTTCTTCTCTTTACATTGGAGGGTGATTCCGGGTTGTTTTGGAAGATCGGTACAGATTCCCAGATAGTAACAGACTGGCACCCTGTTGAAATATCTTCTAACATTAAATCATATTTTAGGCGAGCGGAAAGACACCGAGCCGCAGAGCAAACAAACCGCATCCAAACAACGACGCGTTAAGACGAATTGAGGGTCTGGAGGATGTGGCCGCTCATTTAAATGAATAAATCTGTAGCCATTCAGTAACGTGAGAGAAAACCTAGTTGTCTTGAAAAGCAGGTCCTGATATAATGACCAGAGATTCCCAGTCTTTCAGACCTGGCGACGCAGTTTCCCCTGCACCAATCCCCAAACCGCCACCAGCAGCAGCAGCAGCCTCAGCGGACCAAGCCAACGGCCAAAACTCCCATTTTCCCCCGGAGCTTTGTTTCCTTCACTTAGCCCCTCTTCCAGTATCACTAATGCCAAATCACAGGGACGAGCCCAGCGACTTTTGTTAGAGGGGAAAGAAATATCAAATGATGAAAAACCTTGTCACATGGCATTACCACAGACAGGTAAGATGCCTTATTCCGAAATTGTCTTTAGTTTCCTTTAGAGACGAGACACCAGGAGTGAGGGGGGCTCATACACGTATAATGAAACAGAGCGCCAAACGCAGTCTTCTTTTCTGCGTCAGAAAATGGACAATGTAGGTTTGGCTATGTGGAGAAAATTTAACCAGGGATGCGCACAACGACACTCCGCGGTCCGCACTCCGTATGCAAGTACTCCTGTCAGCCACAGCAAGCACCGTGGCTGTGAAGAGGAGGTATGTGGCGTCCGTGTGGGAGAGAGAGAAAGGAGGAGGGAGGGAGGGTGAGGGAGAGAGATGGAGAAGAGACTCAGAGAGAGAGAAAAGGAGAGAATAACTATGGAAAGCAGCGGTTGCCAGTCGGGGCGCGATTCTGTTGGAATTACCTTAGAGGAAGAAAAGCGCGAGGTGCCCGGGGCGGGCGGAGGATGCAGAGTGGTGTCTAACAGAAAGTCAGGGAAGAAAGGTGTAACCTGCCAACCTCAGCGCTGTCAGGGGCGTTTCAGGCATCCACAGTCACACTGTCTACTCCCGTTGGTCATCACTGCGCCATTAACCAAGCACTGATTTTAAACTTTTACATTATCAAATTATATTCATCGACTTTACCCAGCTGTTGTGAGGTCTTGAGAATCCTATATCATTCTCTTGTTCATTTATATTATTCAATTTACATCAAATACTTGGACAGAATGCTTTTTTTTACTTCTTCTGGTCCACAATACATCAATTCCTCTCAATATTTTCCTCAAACTATTCTTCCATGATTTTGTCTATCCACAGTATCAACACCTTCTTCTATCTTTCATTTATCTGCCCCTTCCTTGCTGGAGGATTCCTCTTAATCTGGCCCAGATCTTGGATTAAAGATTAGGCGGGCTGGGAGCTATAGGCATCCATCGGACTGACTGTTTTCATTCAGGGAACGGGAGATGAAGTTATCAGTGATACCGATATTCTGACAAGCAGCTCCCACTTTTCTTTTTTTTTGAGTCCATTGATTATTAAATGTTTATATAACCACTCATGTTGAGGGGAACAGCTCTTGTTCAGTCAGTGAGCTGCATCTGAAAATACAGATAAGAAAACGCAAAGGTAATTGTAACATTGTAACAAAAATAATGCAAAATACTTCAACAGATGTCCAATGTTTATGCTTTTATCAAATTAAAAATACTTAGAAACATGACATACAACACATACATGGCCCCTGAATCCATGACACTCTGACAGTCATACCCAAACTCTTGCATTGATGGTGGCTAAAAAGAACTCAGACCCCTTCAGTTTTTGGACATTTTAAATTCATATAATTGTCATTTTGCCCATATACTATACCCAATAATCCCTAATGACATTTTTGTAAATTCATTAACAATCCAAAACTTTATAGATGGTTTCCTGAACTTCACAGCTTGTTTTTGTCCTGAGAACAGAAATTGCAACAGGTTTCCACTTCTAATTTTTTAGACCTTTTTACTGTGTACATTGGGCAAAACAGGCAATTCTTTCAACTTAAACATATAATTAAAAAAATGCAAAAACAAGACATCTGAATACTTTCTGCCACTGTAGGTCATTGTGTAATCTCAAATTCCCACTGTGTAAGAAATATAACTTGATAAAACCATTCATAGGTCAATATAATTTGATATTAATAATTCAAAAAACAACAGAGAGGGCTTAATCTCAATGTAAATTTAATAGAGTTAGGTGTTAAAGTTCTAAAAACGGATCTGTCTGTTCATTGTTAAGCTAAGCCTCCAGTAAAGTAAACCTTGGACTTGATATTTAAATGTCTAACATGCTGGACTGCTGCAAAACAAAGAGACAGAGAAAGAGCAACCTCGAACAGCACTCAGACATCTGCATCCCTGTCCGACACAGTTATTTCTGAAAATCACTTATTTTAAAAAGGAAAATGATTGGCAGTAGACAGGCAGACCATATCTGTCTTGTGCACTGGCAGACTGATCCTTCACGGTAATCCTTCTCTCATGTTGGCCTTTAAATGTGGGTGAATGATGACAATCAGGCAGAGAGCCGTTCAGCCTTTACCGTATGTGAGCCGTTATTGAAGCACCATGCACAGCAGAGTGACAAAGGAACTGCAGTAAACCCAACACTTAGCCCAACCTCCACTTAAATTAGTTAGTGGGAGGTAATTTAAGTGGACAAAACCACCAGGATCAACCCGTCACAGGTGAGTAACACAGCTGAGATAATATACATTGCAAATGTATTAGCAGTGCTTGGCATAAAATCAAATAACAGACAGCTGGCATGCCTGCTTGAGGTACTAGACCAACTGCTAACTTCTGTTTCAGGCTTGTGTAGGACCAACTGCTGTGGTGCCAACAACTGCAGGCTGATAAATTCTCCCATGTTGCACAAATACAAACATTAATATATACATAGCATGGCCTACCACAACATAAGACAGAGGATAATCTCCATCACCACCTCCTCGCACACCAGAGGTGTGCTAGGAGCTGATAACAGGGTGTAGATAATGTTGAGCGGGTGTGTATGTTGTGACCTGGCAATAAATACATGTGCCCATATAGTGTCTGGCAGTGGTAAACACACTTATACTGTACATACACAATGCATTAATTACTGCTGTCAGTTTACAACCTCTGATCTCCAAAATGCCATTTTAGAACATTGTAGATTTCAAGATTTAAATGATCATTTAAGGGATTTTACTGTCAATAGAAAAAAAAACTAGAGGTTTTCACATTACAGCAGTGTATTGTCTACGGTTTAAGATCATTTACCTCCGTTTACCTCCTTACGCTTGACATTTTACTATCAGAAAAGGATCAAATATCATCTTGTTTCTGTGAAAATGCTATAGTACTCATCCTTAGAAACTCAGTGTCTTGTAGCCAAAACCATTTCAGTAATATAGATTTTACACTGTTAATGCCTTTGTGAAGGCCTCAGTCCTAGTCTTCACCATGTGAGGGCCTAAACCACCACCAGCAATGGACCTCAGTGGGTAATTTCATTATGTGTGTAGGTTAAGTTGTAGATAAATACTTTTTGATATTATAAATACATAATTGATCGATGAGCATGCATGTTTGATTAATTCTGTATTGTTAATATGTGTACATTTTCTTTTGCGTTACCGTGTTTCCTGGTCCATGGAGGGGGGGGGTTCAGCCAAAAAATTGAACTGAGGAAGGAGCAGGTTTAAAAACCTCCCACTAGGCCTGGACTGCACCAAGTGCCCAATATAAGAAAGGGGGGTGTTTGGGAAAAATTTGTTGTTTATTTGTTGGTAGTTTATGTTAGAACTTTATTTGTCAAGTCATGTTAATTTCTTCACATTTAAAGGAAATATTTAGTTGCTAGCAGACTGCCTGTTTAGTGTTTATTAGTTGGTTACTTTGGTAGTGTCTTTGGTCCACCCCTTGTGTGTGTTATTGGTTTGGCCAGCCAGTATATATGTTTCCCTGATGTGTCACTTGTTAGGTTAGTTGGTTTTTGTTGAGGTATCAGACACTTTAGTTTGCTGTATTTTGAGTTTCTGTATCTTTTGTTGACCTCTATTAGGGCCTAATTTATCTGATGTTAATGTTTGTATTTTTTTCCCCCCCTTACTTTTGGGTTAATAAAAAGCCCATTGTTTTGAACTTTGAAAGCTGTGTCTTTTGCCTTACTGCTTGGTCCCTGACAGCCTTACAGCAATGTTTTACGTTAGCAGAGCTTTTCAACTGTGTACTATACTCTCTTCACTGATGATCCACTGTCACCACCAGCAGGAGTAAGACGTTTTTCAAAATTTCACTGTTTACAACTAAACAAAATTAAAAAGGCAATATTTTCTTTGTTAAAAGTAGGGGTAGGGACACAGAATGGAAACTCATTCAAGTCTATATACACCCAGCACATATACCCACACACAGAAAGAAAGAAGAAAGTGCTTCACAGGTCCCTGTGTTCTTCATGCAACATAATTACTTTGCATCAGTGTGACATCCATGCTCAATAAAACGTAATCAAGTAAAAGATACACTTTTGCAACATGACAAAGATAAATAAAGATGAAAACATATAAGTTATCTTAATGCTCAAAAACGCCAGACTATACCTTAAGTGTTTCAGCACTAATGTACACTGAGGGAATTCATTTACAGCTTTTCTATTTAAATGTAAACCTTTCTTGAACATCAGCACGGCTGCTTGTGATCACTGATGCATATATAGTACCTCAGTGTTACAGTATGTGTATTATGATGCACAACCATTACTCTACAAGAACAAATTAATAATTAAAAAAAATAATGTGCCTGTGTCTACCAATCAATATTGTCTCAAGTCGATGACCCATGAGAAAGGAGAAACTGCTGATGGTAAATTTCACTATAGTTTGTGGACAGCACTGGATCTTTCTGTTTGTAGCAGTTGCTTTTATAATGAAATAATTCTCTTGTCAAACATGTTGCACAAAGCACTTTTCCAATTTAGGCATTTCTCTTTTAATAAAATCACAGGAAGGTGCCTAGAGCCCATTTTCCAAACATAAAAATACTGTACCATTTAAAAAATATTGAAAGAGATGACATTTGTCACCAGATTACTGTAATAGTATGTCAGTTATATTAAGCTAGGAAGCTTTTTAGGATGCTGGGAATATGTAAGTACAGCATAACTAAACAGTCAACTAATACATTGCTCATTTAAGCACTATAATAACTTAAGACCTCAACAGCTTGTGAAATGTCACATCACATGAAACGGATCCCCAAAACTTTAGAGGAGCTTCAAAGGTATTCTTAGATTATACTCTTACTTTTCGTCCATTTTTACTTTTCTCTATTTAATAAAACATCTCTAAACATCTCTTTCAGCTTTGCCACTGAAGCCATTAAGTGACAGGGAAGTAAAAGCCAACATTACTGTCGGAAGCGCAACCTGCTATCATGAGCTTACATCCTCTGTGTGCATTTGTTTGTGCCTACACATGTGTTAGCTTGTACGTGCTGCTAAACAAAAGCCCAGACAGCAATTATTAAGTACAGTACCACCAGACACTCAAATGGCCACTAACAACCCACACAGATGATTTATTCTCACACAGAAAACCAACAGAACACAAGCTATTATTTGTGCGTTCGTAAACAAAACTAAAGCAGCAAATTTTTTCGACATCTCAAACAGTCATTAAAAACACACTGGGTTTGCTTTGTTGTTGTTGAAAAAAAAAAGTTTACTTTTGAGTGGTGATGCAAATAATATTTAC